ACAACTGGCCTATTCTGCGTGAGGCCCTGCGTGATATGGGTCGCGAAGATCTGATTGGTAATGGTAAAAAACACCTGGTGCCGACCTATCAGCCCGCGGGCACCGGCGGTGATGCGGCGAAGAAAGAGCAGCGGCAGCAGCGCGGTCAGCAGAAGAAGGGTGGCGGTGGTCAAACCTTCCGCACCCAGCATGTCCGTCACAACGACTATAAAAAACGCAAATAACGGCTGTATTTCCCTCTTATTGTCATAAATTGAGACCGTGGTCACCCATCAGGCGGACCGATCTGCCTACGCTGTCTGGTCAAGAGATGTATGAATCAAGAGGTGTGCCCATGATGGGGTTAAACAAGCGCATTATTATTCTGGCCGCAGCCCTGGTACTTGTCGGCTGCGCCAGCAAACCTTCGGTCACAGAATATCAATGCAGAGCCGGAGACTGGCAGAGCATCGGCTTCCGCGATGGTGCCAATGGCGTGGCTAACACTCATATTCTTGCCCACCAGGAAGCCTGTGGTGAGTTTGGTATCTTTCCAGAGCGCGATGGCTACCTTGCCGGTTGGCGCGAAGGCCTGAACAATTACTGTACCGCTCAGAACGGCTACCAGCTTGGCATACGCGGATCCGGTATGAATACAGTCTGCCCGGAAACCTTACAGAGCGCTTTTGCAGCAGCTTATGCAGACGGTCGACAGATCTATCAGGCACAGCGTGAAGTAAACCGGCTCGCATCGCAAATTCAGCAGGATGAACAGCGCCTGGTGCAGATCAAAGAAGAGTTAGTGGGCACCACAACGGCGCAACTGGTTCCCGATCTGACCGTTGAAGAGCGGGTGAATCTGGTTGCAAAATTTGAGTCGTTACTTGATGAGCGTGCCAGCATCAACACGCGGCTGCCGGAACTGGAGTACGCGCTGGATACAGCAGAGCTGCGTCTGGCGGAACTCCACCAGACTCTGGCTTACCGGTAACAGGTCAGCTCAGCTTGATACCGCGCAGATTCCCTTCGTCCCGCCATTCGGCCAGCATTTCGTAAAAACGAATGGGGCCTGCGCCGTGCATGTCTGAGAAGAAGCCGGCGTTGTTGCCTTGCTTGCCTTCGCTGTTGTAATAGCCCGGCGTGCATTCTGCATAAAACCTTGCGCCAACTTTAGCGAGCCTGCGTACTTCATCCACATATTCCTGTTCAGCCTCTGCGGTCACTTCCAGCACACCTTTCTGCCGCTTGCGCGCTTCGCTCAACATATAGGCGATGTGCTTGGCCTGCTCGTTCAGCGCATGAGGCACATTTACCGTGATTGCTGTTTGTGTAAAGCCGAGGAAAAAACAATTCGGAAACCCATGGCTGGATAAGCCCTGCAGAGTTCGTACACCGTCGGCCCAATGATCACTCAGATGAACATCGTTCTTGCCGATAATGTCATAACCCGCACGGCGGGTATAAGACGTGCCCACTTCGAAACCGGTAGCGAAGATCAGGCAGTCCAGTTCTATAGCTTCGCCGTTAACCATCACCGCATTTTCCGTCATCGCTTCGACACCCTTGCCGTGGGTATCAATCAGATGCACGTTGGGGCGGTTGTAGGTGTCCAGGTACTCATCGTGAAAACAGGGACGTTTGCAAAACTGGCGGTACCAGGGTTTTAAGGCTTCAGCGGTGTTGCCATCTTCAACAAGCTGGTCCACACGCGCGCGCACTTTGTTCATTTTCTGGTAATCCGACAGCTCCATCAGCTCGGCGCGCTCGGCGCCGGTGAGGCGTCGGCCAAGTTTGCGGCTGGCAATTTTTGCCGCGGTGCCGGTGAGATTGCGGAAAATGTCTGTCCAGCCATCGTGGACCAGGTCTTCGTCCTGTTCGCCGCCAGACACAAGAACGTTGAAGTTGTCCATGCGCGCCTGTTGCCAGCCTGGTTCTAATGACTCCGCCCACTGCGGGTCGGTGGGGTGATTGTTGCGCTCGTCGATGGAGGATGGCGTACGCTGAAAGACATACAGTTCTTTCGCCCACTCACCCAGGTGAGGGATGCACTGTACGGCGGTTGCACCGGTACCAATAATTCCCACACGTTTATCCTTCAGGCCGGTTAGCCCGCCAGAAGAATCCCCTCCGGTATAGTCATAGTCCCAGCGACTGGTGTGGAAGGTATACCCTTTGAAATCGTTGATGCCAGGAATGCCCGGAAGTTTGGGCCGGTTTAATGGGCCGTTAGCCATGGCCACAAACTGCGCGCGCATATCGTCGCCGCGGTCGGTCTGGATGTGCCAGCGTGCCTCGTCTTCATCCCAGCGCAACTCGGTGACACTGGTTTGCAGGCAGGCGTTTTTGTACAGGTCGAACTTCTTTGCGATGTTGCGGCTATGATTGAGAATCTCTGGTGCAAAAGAGTATTTGTGTTGGGGGATATAACCCATTTCTTCCAGCAGCGGCAGATAGCAGTAGGATTCAACATCACACATGGCGCCGGGATAACGGTTCCAGTACCAGGTGCCGCCAAAATCGCTGGCTTTTTCAATCACGCGTATGTCATCAAATCCCGCTTCGCGCAGGCGTGCACCGGTGAGCAGGCCACCAAAACCACCGCCAATAATCACCACCTCGACTTCATCAAACAGGGGTTCGCGTTCGATGGGCTGTTCCACATAGGGATCATCGACATACTTCGAGAATTCAGCGGTTACTTCAATGTACTGATCGTTGCCATCGGTCCGCACGCGTTTATCGCGTTCTGACAGATATTTTTCTTTCAGCTGTGCAGGATCAAAATCCAGGTCGCCAAGCAGGGTTTTAACGGCTGAGTCGTCTGTGTTCATGGTGTTCTCCCCGAAGCTTTGTTTGCCCAAAGTGTACACGCAGAATGATTTGCCGCGCCATCGGTGTTTAATGATGACTTTTTTGCCTGTCTGTTGTTTCGCTGATCGTGCAGTCCTATGATTGTTTGACAGGGAGGAACCATGTCTTTAGAACCCGTTGATGTGCTGATCATTGGTGCCGGTGCGTCCGGTGCCGCCATTGCCTATTCGTTGGCAGAGACCCGTATGCAGATCGTGGCGCTGGAGCAGGGCGGGTGGATGAATCCGCTGACCTACCCCAGCACCGGTCGCGACTGGGAAGCTCGGGCCTGGGGAGATATGTCGATCAATCCGAATCGCCGCGGTCTGGCGTCAGATTATCCTGTGAACGATAGCAACTCACCCATTTCGGTGGCCAATTTCAATGCCGTTGGCGGCAGCACCATTTTATATGCCGGGCACTACCCCAGATTTCATCCGTCTGATTTCCGGGTGCGTTCCCTGGATGGGGTAGGTGACGACTGGCCCATTGATTACGCCACGCTGGAATCCTATTACGAAGAAAATGATCGCATCACGGGCGTTTCCGGTTTAACAGGTGATCCTGCTTATCCGCCCAAAGAAGTCCCCATGCCACCTGTGCCGCTGGGCAAAGCCGGAGCCGCTCTGGCCAAAGGGTTTAACGAACTGGACTGGCATTGGTGGCCTTCCGATACCGCGGTGGCCACCGAAGATTACGATGGGCGTGCTCAGTGTATCAATCTTGGCGCCTGCCTCAGCGGTTGTGCTCAGGGTGCCAAAGCCACCACGGATATTACCTATTGGCCACATGCGGTGCGGGCTGGAGTTGAGGTGCGCACTCACGCCCGGGTCCGCGAGATCACCCTGGACGATGCCGGCATGGCCAATGGTGCCATCTATTATGACGAGCATGGAGTAGAGCAATTTCAGCCGGCGCATGTGGTCATTATGGCGTGCAACGGTGTGGGCACCCCGCGGATTCTGTTGAATTCAAAATCCGAGCGTTTTCCGAACGGCCTGGCTAACTCAAGTGGTCTCGTGGGCAAAAACCTCATGTTTCATCCGTATTCGATGATCCGCGGCATATTTGAGGAAGAGCTGGATGGTCCTAAAGGTCCCAGCGTGTGCATCCAGAGCCAGGAGTTTTATGAGACGGACAGCCGTCGCGGTTTTCTGCGCGGTTTCACTTATGAAATAAACCGCGGCAATGGCCCTGTCACGACTGCGCTGCATGGCATGTTATCCGGCCGTATTCCCTGGGGTGAAGGACATCATGAAGGTTTTGCAAAGCTGCAGAACCGTGTCACCGGCATGGTCGGCATCTGTGAAGATCTGCCTGAGGAACACAATACGGTCACTCTGGATGCCACCCTCACTGATGCACACGGTATTCCTGCACCAAAAATTGACTACACCCTCAGTGACAACAGCCTGAAGATGCTGGAGTTTTCTGTGGAACGCGCCACTGAAGTGTTACGTGCCGCGGGTGCCGTGGATGTGTATCACGAATCGCCCATTGCGGTAGGGGGCTGGCACCTGATGGGTACCGCTCGAATGGGCACAGACCCGCAGCGGTCGGTGGTGAATGAATGGGGCCGCAGCCATGATGTGAAAAATCTGTTTGTGGTCGACGGCAGTATTTTTGTGACGTCAGCGGGGGTGAATCCAACCCGAACGATTCAGGCCCTGGCGTTGTATGTTGCGGATAAAATGAAACAGAACCTGGCTAACTTGTTTGATTAGTGGCATTGGGAGTGAGTTGAGATGAGTGAGATGATCACCAGCGATGATCCGTTTGATGCGGACGACAAGCAGGACCTGCAAAGCGTGCTTGCTTATATGATTCCCGCCAATGAGCTGCGCCCTGGCGCCGACGATCCACTGATTATGGCTGATATCCTTTCTACCGGCAGGTCGTCCGCCCCTCTCATTAAGAGTGCGCTGGCAACCTATCGCAGCACCGACCTGGTGACGTTGAGTCAGACCAGAACGCCTGAGGTGAATGCGCTGGTGAGCCTTGCTGTGCAGTGTTACTACCGTGATGATCGGGTGATGGTCAGCTTGGAGATGGAACCTCGTGCACCACATCCGCAAGGGTATGAAATTCCAGAGGGTGACTGGCAGTTGTTGGAACCGGTGCGCCAGCGAGGGCGCCACTATCGGGATGTCCCGTAGCTAAACGCAGCCTGATCAGTCTGAGTTGGTCAGCACCAGTTTGCCAACAATCTCGCCAGCCAGTTGGCGCTTGAGTCCCTGCTTGTATTGACTCATCGGTAGCGAAACAACTGCTGCGGGCTTGAGTTTGTCTTCGACAACCCACGACATCAGAGTCTCCATAAGCTTGTGATTCAGTTGCGGATCACTGCGTGATGCGCCGCCCCAGTCTACGCCGACCAGTGATGACTGCTTAAGCAGGGCCAGATTAAACGGCAGTTTGGGTATCTCGCCACTGGCAAAACCCACCACCAGATGTTTACCGCCGGGGCTTAACGAGCGAAATGCAGGCTCTGCAACCGCACCGCCCACAGGGTCATAAACCATCTGTAAGCCACTGTTTTCTGTGAGTTTTTTCAGGGAAGAACGCCAATCCTCCTGGCTGTAGTCGACCACTTCCTGTGCGCCGAAGTCTAACGCCGCCTGGCGTTTTGCCGGGCTGGACGCTGCGGCGATAACCCGTGCGCCCATGGCCCGTGCCACGCTTATAGCCGCTGAGCCGACGCCGCCTGCAGCACCAAGAATCAGTACGGTGTCGTCGGCCTGTAACTGGCTGCAATGCGCAAAGCCGTACAGTGCCGTGGCGTAGTTGATGAAGAAACCGGCTGCAACATTGGTATCCAGTTGAGCGGGAATGTTGATCAGGCTGCTGGCAGGTGCGATAAGAAAATCGGCAAAGGCACCACTGCCGCCTGAACCCATAACGCGGTCTCCGGGTTGCAGATGGGTGACCTCTGCGCCGACGGTGTCTACCACGCCCGCAAATTCACTGCCGGGGAAGTAGGGCAGGGGTGGCTTGATCTGGTACTTACCCTGAATCATCAAACCATCAACAAAGCCGACACCCGCAGCACCGACTCTGACGAGGACCTGGTTGGCCTTGGGTATCGGACGTGGCACCTCGATGCGCTGTAATTGTTCGGGTGGTCCAAATTCAGCGCAGCAGACAGCCTGCATGGTTGTTGTCCCAGATGCCGATGTCATAGGGCTTTGACGCCTTTTGGCGGTCCGGCGCTGGTGTGCTGGGTGCCCGGCGGGTCCACTGCCCATGTGGGTGCTTCTGACCAGGTATCTCCAAACACCAGCTCCTGCATCGGCCGGCGCCGTACTGGTCCGTGTTTGCCCTGGGGATTGCCCAGCGTCACGGTACAGCTGATGAAAACTTCCTCTGGAATGCCGAGCAATGGCTTCAATTGGTCCTCAACCGGGCCGTGAAAACCCGTGATCACGCCGCCGTAGCCCATGCCGCGCGCAGCCAGCAGCAGGTTCTGTACCGCAGGATAAATGGATGCCCCTTCCATCGGGTTGGGTGCCCGGTAACGCACCAGACACGGCAAAATCAGACAGGGTGCGTTGTGCAGGTTGTCTACGTAACTTTGCATGGTCCGCGCCATACGTGATTTAGGTGAGTTCGGGTCAGCGCCGCTGCCTTTGTCGTACTGGTCGTTGGCGCGTTTGGCATCCCAGAATTTGATGGCTGAATCGCCGATCAGCTTTTTAGCCTGTACTGCTTTGTCTGAATCTGTCAGCACTACAAATCGAAACGGTTGACGATTAGATCCGCTGGGCGCGCGGGTTGCTGTGAATAACATATCGCGCAACACCTGTTCAGGAATGGGTTCATCGCGGTAGCGACGGATAGCACGGGTGCTGGCCATACCTTCAAGTAATCCCACTTCATCGGAAGCAACGGGCTGTTCTGAAAATGATGTCATAGATTCTGCTTTTGATACGGGTGTCTGATCCTACGCAACTCCAGTAAAGTCCCTCAAGTACTATTGACAAGATCTCAAGCTTTATCGAACACAAATGGGGAGACATCGTTTAATGGGGGCTGATAATCCGCAGTGGCGCCTGGCGCGCAAACCCACCGGTGGCTGGCCGGTCAATGAAGATTTTGCATGGCATATAGATGAGGCGCCGGAGCCTGGCGAAAATCAGATGCTGACACGCACAATTTATCTCTCATTAGATCCTTACCAATGGGGGCGCCGTCGTTCGGGTATGGAAGCGCCGGGTGATGTCTGTCATGGCCGCACTGTTTCCCAGGTGGTGCGTAGCCGTCTGCCAGGTTACGAGGAAGGGGACTATGTGTTCAACACCAATGGATGGCAGACCTTCGGGCTCTCCGGCGAAGGCGTCAGTACCTTTGGCTACATGTTGCCACGCAAGCTCGATCCCGCGCTTGCGCCGATATCAACGGGGATAGGTGTGTTAGGCATGCTCGGCTTGACCGCGTATGCAGGCCTTATTGTGCAGTGCCAGCCTCAGCCCGGTGAAACCGTAGTGGTCTCGGCTGCCAGTGGCGGCGTTGGTCAGGTGGTTGGGCAACTCGCCAAGCTGAAAGGCGCGCGGGTGGTCGGTATCGCCGGTGCCGAGCATAAGTGTAAATTTGTGGTGGAAGAACTGGGTTTTGATGCCTGTGTCAGCCATCAGTCCGAGCAGCTGGCGCAGGATCTGCGCGCGGCCTGTCCAGAGGGCTGTGATGTCTACTTTGAAAATGTTGGTGGTCCGGTTTTTGAGGCGGTCCTGCCGTGTTTAAACAAAGGTGCGCGGATCTCCCTGTGCGGCTTTATTTCCCAATACGGCAATATCGATGGTTCAGATGCCAAAGCAGCCTGGCACGAGACCGGTGCAGAAGTTTTTGCGCGGCAGAATGTCGCAGCGCACGACCTTTTTGTCGGCAACTTTGTGAAAAGCCATCAGGCCCAGTTCCTCACCGAGATGGCAGATTATGTGTCCCGTGGTCTGGTGCAGTATCGGGAAGATCGCTGGCAGGGCTTAGATCAGGCGCCAACAGCGTTTTCTGCCATGCTGTCAGGCGGAAATTTTGGTAAGACCATTGTTGTTGTGGGGCCAGAAGCGGTTTAATAGAGGAATTAGGCAGTAACGGGGTGGGGAGACTCATGTTAAGGCGATTCAGTTTTGCTGTTCCAAAAATAGCGCGTTTGCGATGCCTTATGGTGACGACAACATTAGTCTGTATTTTGCCCCTGACCGGCGGCGCTTCGGAATTGCCGGAAACACTTTTGCTGCAGGGCCATTCAGATCAGACGCTGTTGTTAACACGGATTGACCCTGAGCGCACACCCATCACAGTAGATGGACATTTGCGCGAAGCAGTCTGGCAGCGCGTGCCGGTGATAGAAGACTTTGTGGTGATAGAGCCTGACACCCTTGAGCCGGGTGTGCACGCTACCTTTTTACGAGTGGCATACGATGATAAGGGTCTCTACCTCGCTGCAGATTTGCATCAGCCGCGTGAAACTCTGATTTTACGCTTATCCGGTAGAGATATGTTCGACAACCGCGACAGTGTCAGCTTGACCATCGACACGTCCGGTGAAGGACGCTACGGCTACTGGTTTGGTGTTAACCTGGGTGATGCGCTGATGGATGGTACGGTGCTACCGGAGCGTAATTTTAACAACGATTGGGATGGACCCTGGTACGGGCGTAGTCAGCTCACCCAGACAGGCTGGTCGATGGAAATGTTTATCCCCTGGGGCGTGGTGTCGATGCCTGCCGCCGGAGAAACACGCGCCATGGGCTTGTATGTCTCACGCAAGGTCGCTTATAAAGATGAGCGTTGGGGTTGGCCTGCGTTACCACCCACTCAGAGTAAGTTCATGTCGTCTCTGCAGCGGGTGGAACTTAAAAATATACAACCTCGTCAGCAGTATAGTTTGTACCCCTTTGTTTCTACATCGTACGACAATGTCGATAACCGGCAACTGTATCGCGTTGGCATGGATATGTTCTGGCGTCCATCCAGCAATTTTCAGCTCAATGCGACGCTAAATCCTGATTTTGGAAACGTAGAATCGGATGACGTGGACATCAATCTGACCGCGACGGAAACTTTTTTCCCTGAAAAGCGCCTGTTCTTCCTCGAAGGTCAGGACATATTTGTAGCCTCGCCTCGTTCAGATACCCGTGGTCGAGGTGTCGGAAACGCTGGCGCGCCTTATACCATGGTAAATACTCGACGAATTGGCGGGCGCCCGGCCGCCCCCATATTGGGTCCAGGTGTTGAATTACCGCTGCGAGAAGAAGTTCAGCCTGTTGAACTGATGGGTGCTTTTAAAACGACGGGTCAGGTGGGAAATTTTCGTTACGGTGTGCTGGGGGCTTTTGAAGAGGATATCAAATTTGACGTGCTCGATAACGGACAGTCCATTAACTTGAGTGCGCCGGGCAGTGACTATGGTATTGCACGTCTGCTCTATGAAAATACCGGAAACCAGGGGTATCGGGCCATAGGGGTGATGTCTACAGCGGTGCTCAACGAGGCTGGCGACGCGGTTGTACATGGCATAGACGGACACTATCTATCCCCTAATGGTGGCGTGAAAGTTGATGGTCAATTCATGATGTCGGATCTGGATCGGCGTGATGAAAAAGGGTATGGCGGTTTTGTAGATTTTGAGTTCACCTATCGCCAGGGTCTGCAGCAACGCCTCGGTTTTGAGTATTTTGATGAAAACATTGACATCAACGACCTTGGCTTTTTACAGCGTAACGATGAGTACCGGGTGCGGAGTTCGTTGATCTGGACAACTGCGAACATGTCTTGGGCTCGGGAAAACCAGTTTGATTTACGCGGTTTCTGGCAGAAAAGTGTAACCCAATCGCTCTTAACAGGTGGCGGGATATTCCTTTCAGATCGGGTAGCTCTCAACAATCTGTCGCAATTGGTTGCTCGGTTGAACTACTTTGTTTCGTATTATGACGATATAAATAGTTTTGGTAACGGAACTTTTCGGATCGAAGATCGCCTGGAGTCAATTGTCAGTTGGACGTCAGATTCGACTCAGACCTGGAGCTATGGAGCCGAGTATAAATATAAACAGGAAGACCTTGGCGATACTACGAACGGTTATGGCGCCTGGTTGACCTGGCGTCCTAACGACCGACTTGGTGTTGACCTGAAAGTTTTGTATGATGAAAGAGGTGGTTGGTTGCTGCATCAGCAGGATGACCTGTTTGCCACATTTGAGACCCGGCAGTGGGTTCCCTCTTTATCCGTCGAGTATTTCTTTAATGCCCGTCAGCAGTTAAGGCTGTCTTTTCAGTACATCGGCATAAAGGCGGCCGAAAAAGATTTTTATCGGGTGCCCAGCCGCCCTGACGATTTGATTCCGACGGCCAAGCCTAGCGGGCCCGGGGCACGTGACAGTTACGATTTTTCAGTTTCGCAGTACACGCTGCAGGCTCGTTACCGATGGGAAATAGCGCCGCTGTCGGATATTTTTCTGGTCTATACACGGCAGGCAGATCTGCGGACCGCGCTGGACGAGGAAACCTTCAGCGATCTGTTCGACAGTGCGTGGCAGGATCCGTTCGCAGACGTGTTTGTCCTGAAGTTTCGTTATCGCTTCGGCTCCTAATGAAGGGCGACCTTCAGTTCAAATTTCCTAGTTGATATTCAAAGGGGTACTTACACGTGTTAGAAGCTGTCGCACCGGAAACGGTGGGTATGAGCAGCACTCGGCTGCAGAGGGTTTCGGCCTGGATTGAGACCCAGGTAGAGGACGAACGCCTGGCCGGTTGCAGCGTCCTGATCGGTCGGCGCGGTAAGCTGGCCTTTGCAGAAACTGCAGGGCTTGCTGATCAAAGCCTGCAGCGGACGTTTGAACTGGACACCGTTGCGCGGATCTATTCCATGAGCAAAGCGGTGACAACGGTTGCTGCCATGATGCTTTACGAACAGGGCCTGTTCCAATTGGATGACCCTGTTGCAGCATACCTTCCTGAGTTTGCCGCTACACAGGTGTGGCGAGGGGGTGACGCCGCTTTAGATGCGCTCGACCCGCAGCAGACACCCATGACAATACGGCATCTGATGACACATACGTCAGGCCTTACCTATGGCTTCATGCACACCAACGTTGTGGATCAGGCCTATCGTGAAGCTCATATTGAGTTCCCTGGAACCGCAGCGAGTCTGGCTGATCTGGTCAAAACCGTTGCTCAACAACCCCTGATCTGTCAGCCGGGTAGCGGTTGGAATTACAGCGTATCTACCGACGTATTAGGCCGGTTGGTCGAAGTATGGTCGGGCTTATCGCTGGATGCTTTTTTTGCACAGAATATTTTTACACCGTTGGCGATGGTCGATACCGGCTTCCATGTAAAGCCGGCGAATCATGAGCGCTTTGCCGCGCTCTACGGGCCGCTTTCGGGAGGTGATATGAGTAGCGTTGCCAGCACCTCAAAGAGTGAGACACCGTCGCCGCGTGGTGGTCTGAAGCTTACCGAAGGGGCGGCCAACAGTCGTTTTCTTGAGCCGGCTAAACTTTTTTCCGGCGGTGGTGGGCTGGTGGGCACCATTGGTGACTATGCCCGTTTCTGTCAGATGCTGCTCAATCGGGGTGAACTGGATGGGCAGCGGTTGCTGGGGCGCAAAACAGTGGAATATATGCGCATCAATCAACTGCCTGACAATAAAGATATGGCGGCCATGGGGCAGCCGGTTTGGAGTGAAACCAGCTACGATGGCATAGGCTTCGGGTTGGGCTTTGCAGTTGTGCTGGACCCGGTGAAAGCACACATCATTACGTCGGTGGGAGAGCACCACTGGGGTGGTGCCGCCAGTACTTTTTTCTGGCTGGATCCGGCGGAGGAGCTGTTTACTGTGTTTTTCACTCAATTGATGCCGTCTTCGACCTATCCTATTCGTCGTGAATTGCGCACCCGGGTTTATCAGGCACTGGTAGATTGAGACCTGTCGGCTTGGGCCACCTTTTTTAGAAAAGGGTTTTAAGCCAGGGCTTCGCGGTAAGGTGTGAGGTCCCAGTTCGGGTAACGTTGTTGCGCGTGGCTTAAGGTCACTTCGCTCCAGAAAGGGTGCCCGGGTGGATGTACACCAAAACACGTGAGTTGTTCCGGGGTGGCACAGGCGAACAGTTCATGCCACGGTTTCAGATGGTGGAACGGCCAGGCATGGTAGCCGATAGACTCATCGCCGGACTTTTTGTAACACGCCATAACAGCGTAACGCACGCCGCCCGGCTCGGTCATGTTGGTGCCGCGGTGGAAAACATCAATGCCGTAGGGAAAAATTGTTCCGGCGGATGCGGCACTGCTCTGCGCAAAAGGCATCAGCGCCTGTTGCAAATCGCGACCGCCGGATAAGGTCATGGTGGCGCCACCAAGGGGGTCGGAGTCGCTGCGCTTGACGTAGTGCATGGGGCCGTGGGCTTCTGACACATCAGTGAAATAGCAGATGATGGTCACGCTGTTGAGGGCCGTATCTTCAGACGGCACGGTTAAGGTGTGATTGACGAAGTCGCAGTGAAACGGCTGGTCGTAGTCGGCATCACCGGTAAATTTTGCCCACGCCTGGCACTGGTAAAGATGCACGTTTTCAGTATCCAGTGCAGCACGCGCAAATTTGATCAGCTGTGGGTGTACGCCAATCAGGTTGAGGGCCCTGGCACCGCGGAAAGGGATTGCTTCGAAGGTGGCAAACTGAGCGCTGTCGAACTTGCCGATTTCACCTTCCTGCTTTTTGTTCTGTGCGTGTTCGCCACCGTGTGCTCGACCAAAGACCTTGTCAAAGTCGGCGCGTACTGCTGCTACTTCTGCGTCGGTGAAGAAGTTCTCGATCAGAACCCCGCCTTCCCGGCGCCAGGTGGCCACCTGTTGATTGTTGAATCTGTCCATACGATGTCCTGTGGTCTAGCGCCAGAGCCAGCGCAATGTATCTGCAAACAGCGCGCCGCCGTGGCGAAGTGTGTGGCCGCCGTTGCCAAATTCAAAACGATAATCGTAGCCTGCGTAGGCAAGGGCCTTGGCCATAGCCTGGTTGGCGGTGGGCCAGTCGCCAAACAACGTCTGCGCATCGTTTGCGCCGCTCTGCAGAAATACGCGCAGATCTTTACGCGGAGTCGTTTGCACCAGATACGGAAAGTTATGCCCGCCGCGTATGTTGGTGAAAGAGCCGCAGTGACTGATGACCCGGGCAAAATTCTGCGGCGCAAACCAGGCTGCGCTGAACGCGCAGATGCCACCACTGGAAATACCACAAACGGTTCGATCTGCTGGATTGTCTGAAAACGTCATGTTCATTTCAGCCGCCACCCAGGGTAAAAGCTCTTCGGCAAGGAAGGTGCCATAAACAGGGCTCAAAGTGTCATATTCGACCCGGCGCTGGTCTGCGGCGGCATCGTATCCAGCTGTGCTGCCAAATGGTTCGGCGCCAGGCGGGCGTCCCGGATTGACGAATATTGCAACGGTGGGTTGGATTTCCCCACTTGCCTGCAAGCTGTCCAGCACCGAGGTCACACGAACAGGGCCGTTACGCGCCAGATAGCCCATGCCGTCGTTGCAGATCAGCACCTTCAGGGGCGCGCCATCGGTGGTCTCGGCAGGCACGTAAACGGCGATATCGCGGATTGTGCCAGCACAGATCCCGGTCGCGGACCAATCAGCGTATTTGGTCACCGTGCCGGTCGGGACGCTTGCGTCTGGATAGGCTTCAGCACAGGGGTGGTAGACCCGGTCAGAGGGGTGCTGCAGCGCCGCGACAATGTCGGCGTTGCTGCGGCCGTTGACAGTGACCGGCGTAGCATGGTCAAGACCCAGAGCCTGGTGTGTTTCGACATCAAGAGGCATATGCAAATCCACCGTTAAAATCTATTAGTAACCAAACCCAGGCGTTGAAGCAATGCGGTTATACTGGCGCGTTTGTTTGATTGAGCTTGGAGAGTTTTGTGAGTGACACACCACCAGGATGGTTTACGCGGGCATTAGCCATCAAACCGGAAGATAAACAGGTCGATGTTCAGGGTGTGCCGATCCACTATCTGTACTGGGCAGACGATGAAACCAAACCGGGCCTGATCCTGGTGCATGGTAACGGCGCCCACGCGCACTGGTGGAGTTTTCTCGCGCCCTATTTCATGTCTCACTACCGCGTCGCAGCGATAGATCTGTCTGGTGCGGGTGACAGTGGCTACCGCAGCCATTATTCACCGGATCAGTTTGCCGCTGAGGTGGTAGGTATTGCCGATGACGCCGGATTTGGCGATGACCTCATTGTTGTCGGCCACAGTTTTGGCGGTTTTATCACGCTTAAAACCGGCCTTCTGTTCAACGAACGTCTGTCAGGGATAGTGCTGGTCGATTCGGCGGTCAGGCCGCCGGATTTCAAGTGGGAGCGTGACCCGCGTCGCTCACCAATAAAACCCAAACGCATCTATCCAACCTTTGAGGAAGCGCTGGGACGCTTTCGTCTGATGCCGCCGCAGGATTGCTCAAATGAATATGTGCTGGACTACATCGGGCGGCATTCTCTGAAAGAGACGGAAGGCGGTTGGACCTGGAAGTTCGACGACCAGATGTTCAACAAGTTTGAGTTTGGCGACAACATGCATGAAGAGCTGGCTTTGCTGAAATGTCGAGTCGCTGTCATGTATGGTGAGAACAGCTATCTGTTCAGCCAGGACATTGCTGATTTCATGTTCGAAGTTCTGGATGAGTCGGTGCCGTTTGTGGGGATTCCAGAAGCGCAACACCACCTGTTTCTGGATCAGCCCATGGCGTTTATCAGCGCGTTACGCACGATGCTCGCGGAATGGAGACATTCAAAACCGGATCGGGTTATGGTCTAAACCGCTTTTATCTCATCCAGCAGGTTGTTGATGCGGGTGTCCCAGGCTTTTGCTTCGGGCTCACCCCACTGGTCACCCAGCGCGTCAGCCACGGTATTGCGCAGCGCGCCGAGAAAGGCAGGGTACATTTCAAGGTGTACCGCATAAGCGCTGATATGGTTGGTCACTTCCCAGCGCAGATAATCGTTGGTGCTGGCCGCATCTTCGTCGAGCAGCAGTTCGATGGTCTGTGCCAGCATGCGGCCTTTCATGCCTTCATCAGAGTGTGCCATCAGCTCGGAAGCCTCTGGATTGGCATCAAAAAATGTTTTGTAAACAGCTGGAGAGATATCTCCCGCGCGTTCACCACATCGTTCCAGGGTATCGATAATCAGATCGCTCATAAGGCCAGCATAGATCGTTTTTACCCTGGCTGCATCTAAAAAACTTGCGTGTTGCCAGCCCATCGTGCAGCGTTATGGAAAGCCACAGGAGCACGTTAATGAGGGAAAATAAATCGCTGAGCGCCTGGCGCAGGGGTGAACAAACCATCGGCTGCTGGTTGTCTTTAGCCAACAGTTATTCAGCAGAATCGATCTCCAATCTGGGCTTCGACTGGGTCTGTGTTGATCTGCAGCATGGGATTATCGACTACACCGACCTGGCGCAGATGTTACCTGCCATATCCACTACCGAGACAACACCCATTGTCCGCGTGCCTTGGAATGAACCCTACGAGATCATGAAAGTGCTGGACGCTGGCGCTTACGGCGTCATTGTGCCAATGGTTAATAACCGCAGTGAAGCGGAGCAGGCGGTTCACGCCTGCCGCTATCCGCCGCTGGGTAACCGTTCCTTCGGACCGATCCGGGGTGCGCTCTACGGTGGTCGTGGCTATGCTCAGGAAGCCAATGATCAACTGGCGTGTATAGCCATGATCGAAACCCGGGAAGGTATCGATAACGTTGAAGAAATTGTCACAACACCTGGCCTCAATGGTATTTACATCGGGCCTGCTGACCTGGCTCTGGCGATGGGGCTGGATGTTTACGGTGACCAGCCACAGGAAGAACATCTGGAGATGGTCAAATATATCCAGAGTGTCTGTCTGAAACACAAACAGGCCATTGGTATCCACACTTCCAGTCTGGAATACGCGCAGAAGTATCTGAGTCTCGGCTTTAACTTCGTTACCCTGGGCAGCGAAAGTGGCCATATGATGAAAAATGCGAGCCGGGAGCTGGCGGCCGCTCGGGGTACAGTCCAGGCAGAACGTGAAAGCACCGGCTACTAGACGACCTGATCCATGTGGCTGATCCTTATTGCGGTGCTCCTGGCTCTGGTATTTGCGCCAACCATCTGGGTGCGTTGGGTCATGCGCGCACACAGTGATGAAATCGCCGGCATGCCAGGCACCGGTGGGGAGCTTGCCCAGCATCTTTTGCAGAAGTATGACGTCAAAGGTGTCGGTGTAGAGGCGACTGAGGCAGGGGATCATTACGATCCCAGTGCAAAAATGGTGCGGCTCTCTGAGGCCAATTTTAATGGCAAATCGCTGACCGCAGTAGCGATTGCTGCTCACGAAGTCGGCCATGCTTTGCAGGATCACATGGGCGATAAACATCTGGCAGCAAGAACGCGGCTGGCACCGCTGGCTGATCGCATCGCACGCATCTCCAGTGCAGCCATCTGGCTTGCCCCTGTAGTCGGCTTGTTAACCCGGCACCCCATACCTTTTTCCGGCCTGATTCTAATCGGTATGAGTGGTCTGGTGGCCCGCATGTTAGTACATCTGGTGACATTGCCTACAGAATGGGATGCCAGCTTCGGCAAAGCTTTGCCTGCATTGGAAGAAGGCCAGTACATTGCGCCAGGAGAAGAGCACACCATTCGCAGAATATTGCGCGCAGCCGCTCTTACATACTTTGCTGCAGCGCTTGCGGATGTTCTGAATCTATTTCGCTGGGCCGCTTTACTGTTGCGGCGTTGAATTTGGCAGTTACGGAGAATATATAGTGCGTATCATCAGTTGGAACGTTAACGGTATACGTGCGTGTGCAAAAAAAGGATTTCTTGATTTTCTGCAGCGCAGTGAGGCTGATGTTGTCTGTCTGCAGGAAGTGCGCGCCTTTGAGCATCAGTTGGAGGAATCTCTGCGCAACCCGGAAGGCTGGTACACGAGTTTTGTGCCTGCGGTGCGACCGGGTTACAGCGGCGTTGGCATCTACAGCCGCACGAAACCTGATCGGGTCATCAACATTCTGGGCGACGAGCAATACGATGTGGAAGGTCGTTTCATGGTTGCGCAATATGGCCGTACCTCTGTCGCCTCGGTGTATTTTCCCAAAGGCAGCGGTAAAGATCGTGATAACTCAAGGGTGCCCTATAAGCTGGGTTTTTACCGAAAGGTTTTCGAAACCGTAGAAAAGCTGAAGAAACGGGGTCCGGTTTTTGTGACCGGAGACTACAACACCGCGCACACTGAAATAGATCTGGCGCGTCCGAAAACCAATAAGAAATCCAGCGGCTTCCTGCCTGAGGAGCGAGAGGAAATAAGCCGCTGGTTGGCAGCGGGTTGGGTAGATACTTTCCGCACGCAGCATCCAGATGAAGAAGGTCATTACACCTGGTGGCGCCAGTTTGGTGGGGCCCGTGAAGATAATGTGGGTTGGCGCATTGACTATATTTTAGCGTCAAAAAATGCGGCGCCTAAGGTTTGCGATGCCTTCATCTGGCCAAATGAACTGGGTTCAGATCATTGTCCGATTGGGGTGGATGTCGATTTATAGGCAGAATTTCCGAGGTTTCCGAGGTTGTAGTGCCTACCGTTTCCGGCGTAGGCTTAGGCTTAGGCTTAGGCTTAGGATACGAACCATTGTATTGAGAGGCACGCATGGCAACTCCATTTCCTAATCATCCGAACCTGAAAGAAGGCTTTGCACCCGTCAATATGGAGTGTGACGTCTACGACATGGTTGTCGAAGGCGAAATACCACACGCGCTACGGGGTACGTTCTACCGTAATGGCCCCAACCCACAATTTGCCCCGCGTGGCGATTACCACTGGTTTGGCGGCGACGGCATGATTCATGCGTTTCATTTAGGTGACGGCAAAGCCTCGTATAAGAATCGTTGGGTGAAAACAAAAAAATGGCAGGTGGAACATGAGGCTGGCCGATCCCTGTTCAGTGCGTTTAATCCCCTTGATAACGATGAAAGCGTGGCGGGGATGGAAACAGATGGCCTAGCCAATACCAACATCGTCTGGCATGGCGGGAAGTTGCTCGCGCTGGAAGAAGCCCATGCACCGTTTGAACTGGATCCTGTGACGCTAGAGTCTGTCGGCGCTCATACCTTCGGGGGTAAGTTGCAGGGGCCCATGACGGCCCACCCGAAAATTGATCCGGAAAATGGCGAGATGCTGTTCTTTGGTTACAACATCGACGGTATGTTGTCCGAAAACATGTCTTTTCACGTGGTAGATAAAGACGGCAACCTGGTCCGGTCTGAAACGTTCAAAGCACCTTACTCAGCCATGGTGCACGATTTTATGGTTACCAGAGACCACGTGATCTTTCCGATCATGCCGTTAACAGGTTCTCTTGAACGTGCCATGCAGGGTGCTCCGGTTTACGCCTGGGAGCCTGAGAAAGGGGTGCATATCGGTATCATGCCGCGAAATGGCAGCGTTAAAGATTTACGCTGGTTCCGTGGTGAGCCCGGCTATGTGTTCCATCCAATGAACGCACACTCTGATGGCGATACAGTGGTTTGTGACGTATGTGAGTTTGAGCAGGCGCCACTGTTTCCTGGACCGGACGGCACCCCGGGAGACCCGAACAAGGCGATTCCACGCCTGACCCGCTGGTCGTTTGATCTGGCCAAGAACACCGATGACTACAAATGGGAACGTCTGGATGATATTGCGTGTGAATTTCCGCGCCTGGATGAGCGTCGCTCCGGTCTTTCCTACCGACATGGATATGTCGCCTGTGACACCCGGCCGAAGTTCAAGGTTGGTGGTTTTAATGCGATCGCTCACGTCGACCATAAAACCGGTGCCATGGATTTGTACGACGTCGGTGAGGCGTGCGCCACCAATGAACCGATATTTGTACCTGCCAGCGATGATGCACCTGAAGGTGAAGGGTTTCTGTTAGCCAATGTGTACGACGCCAATCGACTCGCCAGTCATCTGGTGATTCTCGATGCTCAGAACGTGTCTGCAGGGCCGTTGGCTAAAGCTTATCTGGATCATCGTGTGCCATTTGGCTTTCATGGTAACTGGCGTCCGGACGCCGGATAAACTTCGCTTCAGCCAAAACTGACAGCTTTGACCAGCGCATAGATTTCAGAATCAGGTTGCAGCATCAGGTCTGCAACCGCAGCTCGTGTGACCTGACTGGTCAGGTGCTGGTTACCCAGGCGCAGGTGCACCCGAGCGTAGGGTGAATCATCCTGCTGTTGTATCTGAGTAATCCGGCAGCGCAGAATGTTACGCACACTGGTGGCCACCGGGGCCTGCTTTGCCAGCGTCACATCTTTTTCGCGGATAAAGAGTCTGGCCACCGTTCCGGTTGGCGGCGCGTCCTGAATCGGGACATACACCCGTTGATCTTCGCAAGCCACTTCTGCCAACTGAAACTGACTATCAAAACCCAATACCTCGCCGTTGAGCATTGCACCTGTCTCTGACTTAGCGGTTATGCCTGCCATTGCGGGGTGGCGCAGCATATCTTCTGTGGCACCCTGAGACAGCACCTGCCCCTGTTTCATGATCAGAGTGTGGGTGGCGAGCGCGACAACTTCATCAATCGCGTGGCTGACAAAAACCGCGGGTATGGAGAGCTCTTCACAAACCCGCTTCAGGTAAGGTAACAATTCCTGTTTACGGTGGTTGTCCAGCGCGGATAAAGGCTCATCCAGAAGTAGCAGGTTGGGTTGGCGCAACAGGGTGCGGGCAATGGCTACGCGTTGAGTTTCGCCACCGGACAACTGCTGTACGTCCCGGTTCAACAGAGGCGCCAGGTCCAGCATGTCGATAACTTCATTTTCTTCCAGATATCTTTTTAATGGCGCCCGCTGGGCAGCAAATTTCAGGTTGCCGGCAACGTTCAGGTGATGAAATAAACGTGTGTCCTGGAACACGTAACCAACAGGTCGTCGATGTGGCGATAGATTCACATTGTTAGGGGTGTCGAGCCATACGTCGTTCCCCAGCGAGACTAGGCCTTTGCAGTCAGAAAAACCGGCGATGCTGCGCAGCACGGTTGTTTTGCCGCAGCCGCTGGGACCAAACAACGCGCTGATGCCCGCAGCCGGAATCTGAGTGTTCATGTTCAGTTTGAAAGTGCCCAGGGTGGCTGAAATATCAAGGTTCAGCATCAGACGATACGCACCGCAAACTTTCGGTTAGTGGTGTACACAAACAGCAGGACAATAAAGGAAAACGCCAGTAACAAGCCGGCCAGGGCATGTGCCTGGCTGTAGTTCAGCGTTTCCACGTGTTCGTAGATAGCGATGGATACCACCCGGGTGCGTTCCGGAATGTTCCCCCCGACCATCAGGACGACGCCAAACTCACCAAGGGTGTGGGCAAATGTCAGCACCACTGCAGTGATAAACCCGCGCTGTGATTGAGGAACAATGACGTTGAAAAAAGTATCCCAGTAGCTGGCACCAAGACTGGCGGCAGCTTCACGTGTTTCTCTGCCAAGCGTCTCGAAAGCATTCTGCAGTGGTTGAACCATAAACGGTAGTGAATACACAATGGAGGCGATCACCAGGCCGCTGAAATTAAACGTCAGCGTGTCGCCGGTGGTGGCCAGCCAGAAAGCGCCAATCGGTGATTCCGGACTCAAAGCAATCAGCAGATAAAATCCCAGCACGGTTGGTGGCAGCACCAGCGGCAGAGCAGTGGTGGCTTCGACCCATACCTTTGCTGATGAACGGGTTGTTGCTAACCACCAGGCCAGGGGTGTGCCAACCACCAGCAGAATGACGGTGGTCACAGCTGCAAGCTGCAATGTCAGAACTATGGCGGACCACTCGATCATGTTGAGTTGCCCTGATAACCGGCGGCTTCGATCAAAGCGCCGGCCTGTCTGCTGGAGAGAAATTGTATAAAGGCCTGCGCAGCGGGGTTGTTCTGGCCGTGTTTTAACAGCACCAGATCCTGTCGGATAGGGTCATGATATTCAGCGGGGACCAGCCAGGCCTGCGTCCGTTCCCCAGGTTGGATCATGGATAAAGCGACAAAGCCCAGATCAGCATTGCCTGTGGCAACCATCGCATAGGCTTGGCCTACGTTTTCTCCCATTACTATCTTGTCTGCCAGTACGTGATTTAAAGCGAGTGTTTCCAGCGTTTGTGATGCAGCCAGACCGTAGGGTGCAAGCTTTGGATTAGCCATGGCCAGACGCCGGAACTGGTTCCGCTTGAGGTCGGCCAGTGTGGTGGGCTGGTTGCCGAGTAAAACCAGACGTCCCACAGCGTATGTTGTCTGGGAGCCGGGTACCGCAAATCCTTCAGCAATCAGAAAGCCTGCACGTTGCGCGTCCGCCGACAAAAAAAGGTCAAAAGGAGCACCCTGTTTTATCTGGTTAAACAGTTTGCCAGTGGAGCCGCTGACAACAATCAACTCGTGGTGGTGCTGTGCGGTGAACGCAGCAATCAGCTGGTCTGCCGTAGATTTGAAGTTTGTAGCGACGGCAACATAGGCTGTGGTGCTGAGGTTTTCATCTGCTTCTTTGGTGTCTGGACACAGCCAAATCAGTACGCTCGCGATGGTGATGCCGGCCAGTATGAGAGCGGCCGGCATGACCCAGGTACGCACGCGTTTAACCTCCGACAGCAGCTCCATCAGCCGTTGGCTTGATAAATTTCAGCGTCATGCGATTGGATTCACCGATGGCTTGCATCGCTGCTTTCATTTCCTCGTTATCACCACTGGTGCCCAGTGAGGGTGGCAGCCGCCAGACAATATCGTCAGTAGTAGGCTGGTCTGCGGGATTGCTGTTGATATCGCTGGCGGAGACAAATTCGAAGCCTGCAGCTTCCATCTGCGCTATGACAAAACTCTTTTTCAGGTAGCCCGCGACACCTGTGGCCCATGCATCAGGCATGTCATCGCGAGCTTCATGTTGTACAACGCCGACAATGCCGCCGGGTTTCAGCCCCTGGTAAATATCGCTGAGCACGTTTTGCAGGTAATTTTTCTCCGGATCTTCCGGATCACTGAAACGCGCCAGATTGTGCAGGGCGCGGATCAGCAGCACCGCATCCATGGTCTGCGCAGCAGAGCCAGGCATAGCGCCAAAAACGAACGCGGAAACTGAGGCGTCATCGGGGCCGCGCCAGCCATTAGCTTCCGCACTCCAATCGGCGACCCAGGTTGCTTTGCTGGCAAGATAAGCATCGTCTGCAAATGCGAAGTTTGGCCACAGCGACAGGGGATAGTCGATGCCAACAAGGGCGCCCTCACTGCCCAGATAAGGTAGTAGAATTTTGCTGTACCACCCCCCGCCAGGCAGTGCTTCGCCGACGGTCATGCCGGGTTCAATGCCGAAAAACTCAAGGGTTTCCTGAGGGTGTCGGTAAACATAACGTGCTTTCACGGCATCTGGCTGCGCATCCAGAATGGTGGCCAGACTGTCGCTCATTGCCGGTACTGATGCTTCTATAGACGCAGCGGACGATTCGGTTATTGCAGCGGTGTCATTCTCGGGTTCCTCGACGGGGTTAGAGCTGGCAGGGTTATTGCCCTGGCCGCAGCCGGACAGCACAAAAAGCAATGGAAAAACCAACGTTGCCAGTACGTAGCGCATGTAACACCTTTTTAGGTAAATAGTTACAAATTATCTTACGCAGCGTCAGGCAGAATGCTAGTTTTTTAGTTTGGTCGTTGGACTGCCGCGGTGCTGCCAGGGTCGCTTGCATCGCTGCGTGCAGGCTGGTTTTATCGTAACAACGGAAATAACAAGCGGGGCTGAGCATGCTGGACATGTCCGTAGCTTTATTTATGGCACTGGTGTGCGTGCTGGTGCACTTTGAAGCGGTGCTTTTAATCGAAAAAATTCTGCTGCGCATTCCCAGCGCGCGGTTTGGCTTGCTGGTCTCCTGGACCGGATTTCTGCTGGCGCACGTTATTGAAATCTGGCTTTACGCACTGGCTTACGTGGCCTGTGGCTGGTTGGGCATAGGCGAACTGCACGGCGCCACAACCTTACTGGATTACGCCTACTATTCCGCTGTGGTTTATACCACTTTGGGATTTGGTGACATCGTGCCGGGTGTCGGCATACAGATTCTGACCGGCTCACAAGCATTGGTCGGCCTGTCACTTATCGCCTGGTCTGCCACGCACACGTATGCCCGGGTGACCTCCTATCAGGCCGGACGTTAGTACGGATGTCATAGTTTCGCCGTGAATGTCGTCACGCTTTGCTGAAGGATCCTCTGCCAGACAGGGATTGCTTGTCACAAGTCAAACCGCGACACGTTGTTGTGTCAGCCGGTGGCGTAAAATGTGACAGTTTTCAGGCAGTTCAGTTTGGGTCCCAATGACATCGGCAGATGGTTCAGAAAAAATAGACAAACAAGGTTACCGTGTTATCGCGGCTGCTACTGCGCGTTTGACACTATTTGCCGTGCTTGCATCGCTGACCATTACGGTGGTTGCAGGCTACTTAGCTTTTGGCGAATTAATAGCGCCCATAGGCATCTATCTGGCGATAGGCGTGCCGTTACTGGTGGCACCGATAGCCAGTTTCATGAATATCTCACTGTCTTACCGTCTGCAGAGTGCTAACCAGCGCCTTCAGGCGCTTAGCGAAACCGATTCTTTAACGGATACGTTGAATCGTCGGCGGTTTATGGAAGTGGCTGAGCGTGAACTCGCTCTGGCCGCAAGACACTGCTATCCCACCAGTGTTGTGCTCATCGACTTCGATGATTTCAAACAGGTGAATGATAAACATGGTCACGCAGCGGGTGATCAGGCGCTGGTGCAAACGATACAGGTGATTAAATCTCTGGTGCGTGATTCAGATGTGCTGGCACGATTTGGTGGTGAAGAATTTATTCTGCTGCTTCCGCATACCGCCCGTGAGGGCGCTCAAAGCCTGGCGCAGCGCATGTTGGAAGCGATTGCCCAGAACCCCATTGAACTTGAATCAAAAGAACTGATGATAACTGTCAGCGC